ATTCTTTCTCTTAATGTTAAAATCACAGTTTTATTCTCAGAGTAAGTTAATGGTTCTTTCACAGAGATTTCCCAATTTCTTTCTATAGGTTCTCTAAAAAAATTTTCTTTCCTGCCTATAAATATTCCTGAGGGTGTTCCAGAATACAAGGATATGTATTCTAAGAATCTGTTTCAACTATATAAAATGACTTTAATATGTTGAATCAATATTCAACTGTACAAAGGGAATGCCACAACAAAATATTTAAAAATCTATGCTTTGAGAAAGCCACTCAAATTACCTTTTAGGTCTTATTCATATGTCACACTCATCTTCAAAATTGAATGGATGTATCCTCAAAAGAAATTTTAAAAATTCAAATAGACTACAGCAGAATATCATAGAGGGAGAAAAGAATGAACATTGGCAATCCTCATCACATAACTGGGATAAAAGGCTGTAACCTTGGACATGTTCTCTGACACCCCTGCCAAAAGCCTGTATTGGATGGGACTATGAAAGTTCAGTATCTCTTCCAAAATGTGCTGCCACTATATTTAGACTACATGAGGAGTGCCAAGGGCTCCGATCTCATAGTTTTCTCTGGTACTAACATGGCACACATACCAATACATGTCAAGAACTTTCGGCAAACTTTTCTGGCACCACTTGTACTTCCTTGGAATGTAAAATCACACTCTATCATCTACAAGGCAATAGAAGTTGAAAGAAAATTTTGGCCAAAAGTATTACAACGTACAGCTGAATTTTCCCTACAAGAGTTAAAGTGCATAAAGTGAAGGAAAAGGGGAGAAATGAGAGGGAACTTAAGCAGACTGAATTCTATAGTACATCTGAACTGTCCCCCAGTCTCACGTATTTAGAAGGGTAGGGGATCGGGCAGCACCATGCTCATCAGCTCACTTGCTGTTAGTAGGTGGGGTCTGGTCGGAAGAGTGGGGTCCCTGGGGGAGAGACCTGGAAGGGTGTATATGACTGATAACTAACTCAATAATGTCAAGGAAAAGTCAAATGGAGAAATCACTATAATTATATTACCAAGGGGCAAGCATGTTATGACTGATGAAAAAAATGAGGAAAAGGGTAGTAATAATAATGCACTTGTTCTCTGCCAACCAATCCCATAGGTCCTTAGATATACTGACTTAACAATAATTTATGCAGTAGTAGGTACGACTGACATTCTCATGTGACTGGAGATGAGGAAATAGAGAGGTTAACCATTCCTCCAGGGTTAGCCAGTGCGAAGTGGTAGAGCCCTAACTTGGCCCCATGTGACCTAACTATACTGGCCATGCTCTTAGATACGAGGCTATTAGAACTAAAAAGCCCGCCTGTTCTGTTCAAAAGGCCACCAGCGTGTGGTGTGTGCATTATATTACTGAGCTTTTGAATACTGACTCAGCCAACCTGCTTCAGCAAAGGCTGCAGTTAAATTTGTTCTGCTTAGCCAGGAATTTAGATTAGTGGTTCCGCCACCTGCCTCGCAAGCACAAGGTCCTGAGTTTGATCCCCGGTACCAAAAAAAAATTTTTGTTTTGCTTATTATTTGTGTTTGTTACTTTTCTCTCATTGCTGAGACAAATACCTGACACCCAAAGTTAAAGGGGAAGAGATTTATTTGGCTTACAGTTCATAGTCGGCTGGCTTGGAGGCTGGGATGACAAACAGGCCTCACAGAAGAGAAAGAACATGGCACACACAAGGTAGCTAAGGCAACAAGACAGCCTTACCAGTGTCTTCCTGCCCCTTTAATCTTATTCAAACTACTGAGGGCACGTAGCACTCACGCCCTTAATTCTAGTGCCTGCAGGCCTAGCACTACCATGAGTCAATCACACACCCTAGATTCACCCACCTCTGGAAAAGCATGAGACTTTGAGGGACATCTAAACCCAAGCCATAACATTAAACTTAGTGAGGCAGCATTTCAATAGAGCACAACATATTTAGTAAGTTCATATCATGCTTAATCCTATCCCTTTTCTTTATAAATGGATTCAAAATTAGAAGCAAAATATACAGTTGGCCTATCTATTCTTTTTGACTAAGATTTACCACTAATCTCCCTGTAAAACATTAAAACGGGTTCCTTTACCAATGTTTAACGGGAACATTTATGTATGGAATAGGAAGACCATCACATTCATAGTATTTAAAAAATGAACAATCAGCATTTCTACTATATACGTTTTTATAACTTATCAGAGAAATTATTTTAACCCTAATCAGTCACCCTGTTTTCTTTGCAAGCTGGGGATGACAAAGGAACATCTGTAGGGTACAAACAGTATTCTTAGTTTGTGAAACTTTTTATTCCTGTTCAAAACTGAAAGAGAAAAAACCCTTAACTTTCATAATCTCTCAGAAAAAATAAAGTAACTAAAGTAGTTGTTTATATAAGAAATAATTTACTTTAATTAAAATTTGATAAATTAGCTGATGCAGATACTTTTAACTTGGGGAAGGGAAAAGGAGAAGTTTTCAATTATTCCAAAGGCATTTTTGTTATTATTATCCTTCAAAAAGATTTTCAAGAGACTGTAAAATATCAAATACAGACTATTCACTAAAAATTTAAAATAAGGAAGGCAGTAGGTATCTTCTTCTTCTTCAGAGTGCTTAATAAATACATAATCTTAAAGGACCTTTTTTTTGTTGTTTGGTTTTTCAGGTGTATTTATCTCTAGGATAATTTTAATTGTGTTTATTATCAGCAAAATTTGTGCTTGCCTAAAAATATGGAGGATAGCATTAGAATGAGAAGGGATGGAGCCAATAAAATATTGTGAAAAAATACTTTTTCTATCTAAAAATATTTTAGTTTCTGCAGAAGTATAGGGGCTTTCCCCCCTTTTATAGATTTAGCTACGTTATAGACAACCATAATAATTTCATCTTTTTACCCACTGAGACTATCATTCCTAGCCATATTTCCACTTTCTTTTTCCATTATGTTTACTGGTACATTTTAGGTGTACATAATGATCACATTCATCATTGGGAATTTGTACCTGTACATGATGTATCTCAGTTGTTATTTTTCCCATTCCCCTTCCCTCCCTTCACCCCTCCCTATTTACAAAAAATTTTGTTTCTGTTTTTTCCTTCTTTTCTTATACTATTTTCTTTCCCTCGTGTCCCCCTCCCCACTTCCCCTTCCCTTGTGGACCTTTTCTTCCTATTTCACATTATCTATTACACATTTTGGTCTTCATTTACACTTTCAGTCTCTCACACCAGAGAAACTATTCAGTATTTATATGTGCCTATTTATTTCACTTAAGATTATGGCCTCAATGTGCATCCATTTAGCTGTAAATGTCTCTAGTTTATCACTCTTCATGGCTGAGTAGTACTCCATTTTATATTAAAAAAAAAAACCCACATCTCCTTTTTCCAGTCACCAGTTGATGGACATTTGGGCTGTTTCCAAGATTTAGCTCTTACAAATTATGCCGCTATGAACATGGGCGCATATATATCACTGTGGTATGATGCTTTTAATTCTTTTGGGAAGATACCCAGCAGGGGAATAGTTGGGTCAAATGGAACCTCCAATCCTAGCTATTCGAGGACTCACCATACTGATTTCCACAGTGGTCGCAACAGTCTACACTCCCACCAGCAGTGGAGCAGGGTTCCTTTTTCCCCACAATCCCACCAGCATTTGTTATTGGTTGATTTCTTGATAGCAGCCATTCTTTCTGGGGTGAGGTGGAACCTCAGCGTTATTTTTATTTGTATCTCTTGAATGACGGTGAACATTTTTTTATATGTTTATTTGCTGTTTCTACTTATTCATCTGAGAAATGTCTGTTCATTTCAGATGCCCATTTTTGAACTGGGTCTTTATATTTGGGAGGTCTGATTTTTTTAAGTTCTTTATAAAGGAAGGGAGTATCACAACCCCCAACTTGAAAGTATATTACAAAGCTACTATGATAAAAACAGCATGGCATTGGCAAAGGAACAGACCTGAGGATCAATGGAACAGATTAGAAGATGCAGAAACAACTCCAGAAATACTCAGCCACATCATCTTTGACAAAGGAGCCAAACACCCTCACTGGAGGAAATATAGGCTCCTTAATAAATGGTGTTGAAGAAAACTGTATTTCAACCTGCCAAAGATTAAAACTAGACCCGTATCTATCACCATGCACTAAACTAAGATCAAAGTGGATTAAAGATCTAAATATTAAAACAGAAACACTAAACTTGCTGGAAGTTAAGTTAGGTAGAACTCTCGAAGACACTGGCATAGGAAAAGACTTTATGAACAAAACTTCAGTTGCATGGGAACTAGCACAAAGAATCAACAACTGGGATCTCATCTTATTAAAAAGCTTCTGCACTGCAAAAGAAACCACTAACAGAGCTAAGAGATAACCTACAATGTGGGAAGTTTTTTTTACCAGCTGTTCCTCACACTTCCACTTTTAAGCATTTAAGACCTCCGTTTTCAGACTCCTCCCAGGTGCTGTATGGCACACTCCTCACTGTACTGTATGGAGTGGAATTTCCCTGAGTTGATTTGACCTCCCAAGGGGACAGTGTTTCTTTCCTCCAACTGTCACTGTGGTAGCAAGCAGCTGTGGGAGGCAGGAGCCAAGGTCCATGTCAGTTACCATCTTTGTATAAACATACATTCTCCAGCATCTACCCAAGCTGCCCTCATTTACTCCCCACCAGCTCACAAAACAGCTCTCTCCTAAGCCAGAGGGTGAGCACCAGCACCTTCCCACCTTTTACCCTTCTGGCAGCATCATTGGGATTAAAATAAACTACAGTAAGTTCCCTGGCCCAGCTTTGTATCTGCAGTGCTGGGGCAGCAGAAGAGGCAGTGTGCAAGGGAGAGAGTGCAGAGAGGGATAATGAGGTCCCCCAGAAGAGATGCCGAAGGCCTGCACGATTACTGCTACAAATGGCTTCAAAATATCTCAGCGTTTTATAGTCATATTACATTTAGTGATTCCATTCACTTTGACCTCTACCTGGTAAATCAGAGAAGAGAAGAATGCACTCATTAAAGCCATTAGCCAAAAGCCGGTCCCGAAGCTGCTGGAGAATTGCTACTCCGATACAGAATGGGAAAGAGGAGTTCCCAAGCAGCAAGGTGTCCCAGAGGTGGAATATTTTATGCAATGGAAATACATCTGTGGAATAATTTTAAAAATCAATTAAAATTAAAAACTCAAAAAAACCCCTAAAACAACTTGCTTTACTCGATACATGGCATTAACTTACGGTCTGTTCTTCACGAGCTAACCCTAAGCAGAGCACTGTGGCTCGTGCCTGTAATGCCACACTCAGAAGCCTGAGACAGAAAGACTGCAATTCTGAGGCCAGGTTGGGCAACTCAGACTCTGTCTCAATCACAAGTAAATAAATAGCACATTCAAACTTCATAAGATGTTTATTTGGCTTTGTAAAATTTAACTTCCAAAGGCCTCTTAAAATCTGTTAATTAGATGAGTGACATGGATAACATTTTCTAACTTCTATTATCAATATCAGTGACTTTGTCCCAGCCATAAAATGTTATTCCCCAGAATTTTTTAGTTATATTATTTACCTAAATTTACTTATATAGGTAAACTTTAACACTATTTTATGTACAGTAAGATTACATTTCCATTTTGCATTATAACTGCTTTATGAAATTCCCACCAAAAATTCTATTAATAGTTTTTTCTTTTTTATAATTTTTTAATAATATTGTGGCTATCATTCCAGGGAATGTCTCCAGATCTACTTCATAAAATGATGCCATTTTTCATATGTACTATATGTAAGTAAAGATATACACTGTATTAATATTTGTAACTAAAGTATTATATATTAACATAATCTGCTTAATTTCTAGAAGAAAGCTAGTTTGGGAAATAAAATTATTAGTTATTAGAGGATCCCTCTAGAAATTAAGATTGATTTGGTTCCAAAGTTGGTTTCATAGAGTTCATTTAAGTACTACACTTGATGCTAAATTCTCTTTTCAAAAGTGGGCAAAGCTTGTATAAATATCAACATTAAAACAGACTGTCATCCTATACAATTCTGTTTGTAATGTCTAAGAGACAGAACAACTAGAATTCTTTTCTACCCAACGCTATCATAACAGAATTACACGAGGATGCATGTTAAATTGTCTCAATTTTATTGTGAAATAATATTAAGTACCAGGGAAGAGTGGAACAGAGCTGTGTTCTTGCTGTTACAATACTAAAAGGAAAGAGAAGATGATACTTACGAGTAAACATGGTGAGAAACCAAGGGATGGCATACAGCTACCAGTAGAAGGAAATATGGGAAAGAGAGAGAATAAAAGATATAATTAGAATCATCACCAATACACGGAGTGCTTAAAAAACGATTTTGGTCTACTCCACTGATTAAAATAAAACCAATTTAATTACTATTATCACAAATATCTTATATGGTATCTATCTATATTACAAATGTAGATGACCTTCCTGCCAGGAATTATTCACAGAACATCTTCATTTCATCAAAGGATACACTCAAGACCATACTAATTCAAATGCTATAGTAGTATGCTAGCTTTGATGGTGTACATTCAGTTGTACAAAAATACAGTGAGATTTTAAAAGTCCTTATGGCAGTCAATCGTATGTGTCAAAGACTGCATTGCAGCATACTCAGCTATCTGATTACCACTGATTTGGGTGTGTCTGAGGGCATCCACAGGTGAGCTTAGCACATGTGTCAGTAGACTGAGGAGGCTGCCCTCCCAATTAGGGTAGGCATCATTTGGTCCCTCTCCGCCTGGTGCGAAAGGAGTTCCCTTCCTACTCCACCTCACTGCTTGAGCTGGAACAGCTCCTTTCATCTTATACCACCCTAGGGCTGGGGCTGTCATTAGCAAGTTTGAAATAAACAATCATTTCCTGAAAAAACACTAATTTCATTTTGCTTTGTCAAGCAATATAGGCCACTGTTAAACAAAGACTTTAAATGTACAACTGTGATCTCACCATTTCCCTGTTCCACTATGACCATGCTTTCCTGTGCCATGCCAAATTTAGAATATAAACCACTGTGAACAAAAGGAATGAAGAACTTGGAATCAAAAACGAAGTGTTGGAGTCTCATCCTGACAACCACTGACACCATGCACAGCAATCAGGCAGCCCATGTATCCCAAAGTCTTCATTTTGGAATAGAGAAATCATTGTCTACCTTAGCCATATCACAGAAATGCTGTGAAATACCTGGATAAATGATATGTGAATGTGCTTTGCAAACAGCCCTCTAGAAATTGTAAGTAGTAGTATCAATATTGACATTAGAAATAGAGCATCCAGCTACATTTCTTTGTCTCATCTCCACATGTTCTATATCCTGCCATGACAGACAGATGATGTGATCTGAACATACACTACTATCTCATCAATGTGCTTTGCCTTTTCTTTTTTAATGTTTTCTCATGTCATTTCCCTAAACCAAAGCTCTCTAAGTTTAAGGCCTGTCTTAAGTACCATTTGTTTTATGAAAACTTCTATACACTTTGTATACCCATCTCACTATGCCTTGTGTGATGCCTTGTATCTAGATGTTCCTCCAAAGCCTCATGCGGTCATAGGTGGGGCTTTTCAGAGATGGCTGGATGTAGAGTGTGTGATGCTGGCATTGTGGGGGTGGGGGGGAGTGTTGGGATTAAGGGTGTGTGATTTCTAAATTAGTCCACTGTTTGGTTTAGCACAGTTCTGGGTAAAGATAATGGGAAGGTCCCCCAAGGTGTGGGTAGCACCACCCATAAGATGTGTACTCTGGAAGGGATAAAAGGGAGAGGCAGGCTGCTGCTGCTTCTGTTTGCTGCTTCCTGCCTGCCATGCCATGAACGGTTTCTCCTCTGCCAGGCTGTGCTGCCTTGGAGCCAGCTGACTATAGAATGAAACCTCTACATGCTATGAGCTGAAATAAATCTTTCCTCCTTTAATTTGTGGGTGTTGGATATTCTGTCCTACCAACAAAGAAAGTACCATTTGTTCTATGAAAACTTTTATACATTTCTTATACCTTTCTCCCTATGCCTTGTACCATACCATATAATGGTAACTGTGTTATGTAAGCTACAGTAACTTTATCTTAAATTTTATTATAATTACCTATTGTACCATGCTTTGTATTATATAATGAATTCTGGATATCTTCATTCACTCATTCACTCAATATGAAATGCTTTCTGCTATATGCCACGTGTCTCTCTAAACCACAGGAGTGACATGTGTGAACAGATACTTAAAAATGCTTTACAGTTAGAGCTTCAACACAGAGGTTTTGGCATAGGACAGTGGCTATCATAGAAGCTTTTGGCTTCTTCTGTTATTCGCTCTGCTGGAAGATGTTAAGATTCATGTAAGCAAAGGTTATTTCACTCCTATATTCATTAATAAAAAATATAACCTGAACACTTAACACATGCCAACTCTGTGGCAGATGATAGGACATGGCAGTGAATGAAGCACAGTTCCTGGTTCCAAGGTGCTCCAGAGTTGGTAAAAACAGTATTGTTCCTTAAATGTTCTCTCAACCCATTCCACCTGGGGCTTTGCCTCCGCCTGACCGACGAAACTGCTCTTGGTCATCTACAATTGCCACACTGCTAATCTTTTTCTTTATCAGTCAGCAGAACTGGACAAAGCTATCTACTCCCACTTCCCAAAAATACTTTTTCCCTCCATGTGGCTTTCGAGACACCACATTCATCAGTTTTCTTCTCACTGTTCTGTTTTCTCCTTAGCTGTCTCCTTTGCACGCTCCTCTTCATCCTCTGACTCTTAAATATTGCCATGTCCCAGGTTCTGCTCTGGGATCTGTTAAGTTCTGTTTTTCCCAAATAATAATTGTAATTTGAAAACTCCTGTATCTCCACCTCTCTCCCATGACTTCTGAACCTGTATGTCCAAATACCTATTTGGTATTTCTACTTGTATATCACACACACACACACACACACACACACACACACACACACACACACACACACAGAGTCAGAGACTGAGCTCCTGAGACCTCCTTCAAAATCTGTACCAAGTACATTCATACATCTGTTAAGAGCAATGCTACCCTTCTACTTCCTCATGGAAAAAATGATGAACTCATTCTTACTTGCCTCTTCTTACACTGTTACCTGTCATCAGCAGTTCTACTACTGACGAATCAACTGCCAGGAATTATTCACAGAACATCTTCATTTCATCAAAGGATACACTGAAGACCATACTAATGCAAACGCTATAGTAGTATGCTAGTTTTAAGGGTGTACATTCAGTTGTACAAAAATACAGTGAGATTTTATGCTCACTGATGGTATGTACACTGTATGCTCATTGATAATATTCGAATTCAGTTCTATCATTTCTTGCAATTGCCCATGCCTCCTAGTCTATCCTTGGCTGTGCTTGGATTCCTCTCAGCTTAGTAGAGCAATCTCGTTCAGATGTTTACATCAGATGTCACCGGTCTACACAAGAGCATCTAGCGACTCGTTGTCACTTAAGAGCAACCCGAAACCCTAGAGATATGATCTGCAGCACTCCACGCAAGCAAGCCTCCCACCGCCTTTCGACCTCTTCTTGTCCACTGTGCTTCTGACTCAGTGGCCTCCTGGCTGCTCTTTCAGCACCCTGCTACACTCCCGCAAACCTAAGGCTCTTGCTGTGATTCTGCTGCTGGAACTGATCTTTCTCTTCTTTCCTGAAGGCATTTATTCAAGACACCTTTTCTACGAGGCTTTCCTGAGAACCTTATTTATAAACTAAATTCTCCCTTCACCTAAGCACTTACATCCACCGCCCTTCTTTAGATTCTTTTCTACTAGAACTTACCACTACCTAACATGTGCCACTGTGTATTTACTTATCTTCTCTATTGTCTATGCCCCTTAGAATATGAGGAGAGATAGTCTGGTACTTTTTTTCCCCTTCTGATGCATTGAGGGCATAGAGAAATGCCTCACACACAAATGTTTATTGAAAGAATGAATGAAATACACAGTGAAGGTAATTAAAGGAATATATTAAAAGGTCCAAATACTTTTGAGATTATACACTTTGAGAAATTTTCAACAAATAGGAAATAATGAGAAAATGATTTAATCTTCCTTGGCTAATACACTGGGAAAAATTCTTCATATTAAATATTGCAAAGTATTGAAAAAATCATTAATCCTGACGTTTTGTTTTATACATATGATACATATATATGTATAGATACATTTTGATAACAATTACTTTGAAGTTATTAAAAATTAGTAAAATGAAGCTTATCTAATAATTGAAAATAATTCAAGTTGAGTTAACATCTTTAATATAATGTATAACATTCCTAGGTGCATTTACCTCTTACCAATTAAGATCAGATAAATAAAATGGTGATCTGCTACACTGCAATGCCTATTATTTTTCTTTCTATAGTTCTCCCTTTTAAAGTCTTTATTGAAACCTTCATATTAATTTCTCGAGATACTGGCACAGCTTCATCATACCATTTGATACAGAAAGAAGGCAGAAAAATAAGATAATTTTGAATACTAGTCAGTTTTTTAAAAATGGAATTAAATACTGAAAATATTTGATTACAAATATAAAATGCATAATTTCATTAAGTCAGAGATACTATCTCTTTCCTAATTTAAAGTTGGAAACTGGCAACAAATGAAAAGAAATCATACATGCTCTAAGTATTTTCTCCAGAACATAAAATTATGTATGCCTGATTTGACACAGCGCTTGTCTGCAGAAAGAAATAACTAAGTAAATACTGCCCCCTAGCACTATCAAGCAGGAACAGTTATATTTAGCATTTCATGAGGTCTTTCCTCACGGTCTGCTAATGTCAAATTTAGAACTACCATCAACAGGAAAAACAAAGGTGGGAGCTGGTTATCTTGATGTTGACAAGCAGAAAATGATGACTCAATGACTTGAACATTTGTAAGAGTAATTTAAAAGGGATTATTTCTTACAAACTCTACATGAAGATTTCATCCAATTTTTAAACTTATAAAATAATGCACTTTCATTCTCTATGTACAGTATATCTATATATGTGTGTGTGTGTGTGTGTGTGTGTGTGTGTGTGTGTATGTATTTTACTGTTACAAAAGGGGGTCCCTTGCTGGGGATTTAGCTCAGTGGTTCTGCCGCCTGCCCTGCAAGTGCAAGGGCCCGAGTTTGATCCCCGGTACCAAAAAAAAAAAAAAAAGTTATTGAGACAAAACGGGGTCCCTTCTACTTGCGTTTCTAATTCCACCTCTTAAAGA